TATCCGGGAAACTAAGGGCAGCAACCGATGGAGGTGCGGTTGCTGTGCGACGAACTACCGATGATCTTCCGACGACGACGACGCTGCGACGGAGCTTTCCGAACACAACGCCAACCAGGCAAAGCCCTGACGGTGAAACCTCACTTACCGAAGGTGACCTGACGACACAACATGGAAGCAGCGGAACAAGCCGAAACAGCTGTGACCCGACACCACGCCCTAACTGTAATGCGAGACGGCGAACTAGCGACCTCGACATTCTTATCGACGGCCACAGTGTGACCGCTCTCGTCGATACTGGAGCCGACTACTCGGTCATCAGTGGGTCGTTCTCCGCGAAGTTAAAGAAAGTTAGGACGGCTTGGGAAGGCCCTCAAATCCGCACAGCTGGAGGTCATCTCGTAACGCCTGCAGGAATCTGCACAGCGAGAGTCACCATTAATGGCCGAATTTATCCTACAGACTTCGTAGTCCTACAGCGTTGCTCGAGAGATGTCATCCTTGGCATGGACTTCTTATGCCTCCATGGTGCTGTCATCAACCTAAAAACAATGTCGATAACGTTATCCACAGAAGAAGCACTATCACCGCGCACACCGTCAGGAAGCCATGCCTTGAATGTGCTGGAAGAACAAGTCACCATTCCGCCTCGCTCAAGCGTCATTATTTCTGTCGGCGCTCCTAAATCACCTGACTTGGAAGGCGTCGTTGAAGGCAGTCAGCATCTGTTGGTCACCCGAAATATTTGCGTCGCAAGAGGAATTGCAGAGCTGCGGGGAGGTAAAGCAACGGTTATGCTTACGAATTTCAGCAATGAGTACAAACATGTGAACAAAGGAACAACGGTCATACATCGAAGAAATTGTCGAAGCCACCAGTGCTTTCGCCCTCGCCGATTCTGCGGAACCTGCTCAGAGGAACCAAGCCCCTCCCATAGCTTTCGACGTCAGTCCCAGACTTCCGAACGATAAGCAAGAACAGCTCAAGGCCCTGCTCCTGCAATACGAAGATAGCTTTTCGTCGTCATCGAAAATTCGGCAGACCCCAATCACGAAACATCGAATCATAACCTAAGAAAATGCCAGACCACTCCGTCAGAGTCCGTACAGGGTTTCGACGCGAGAACGTGAGGCAATGAAGAGACAAGTTGATGAAATGCTGCGAGATGACATTATCCAGCCGTCCAAGAGTCCGTGGGCATCCCCCGTGGTGTTAGTGAAGAAAAAGGATGGGACCCTACGTTTCTGCGTCGATTATCGCCGCCTGAACAAAATCACAAGAAAGGACGTGTATTTTCTCCCAAGAATAGACGACGCACTTGATCGGCTCCATAACGCCAAGTACTTTTCGTCAATGGACCTCAAGACTGGCTATTGGCAAATCGAAGTCGACGAAAGAGACCGAGAGAAGACGGCGTTTATAACACCGGACAGCCTCTTCGAGTTTAAGGTGATGCCCTTCGGTCTTTGCTCAGCGTCTGCAACTTTTCAACGCGTTATGGATTCAGTACTGGCAGGATTGAAGTGGCAGACTTGCCTTGTGTACTTGGACGACGTCGTCGTGTTTTCCTCGAGTTTCGATGAGCATCTTCGGTGCCTTGAAGCTGTACTTCAAGCCATCAAGACGTCCGAACTCACACTGAAGCCAGAAAAGTGCAGATTTGCGTACGAGGAGCTCTTGTTTCTGGGGCACGCTATTAGCAAGTCTGGAGTTCGTCCCGATCCACGGAAAACAGCTGCCATCGCCGACTTCCCGCCGCCCACTGACAAGAAGGCGGTGCGCCGATTTCTGGGCCTGTGCGCCTATTATAGGCAGTTCGTGAAAAACTTCGCCCGCATCGCCGATCGTCTCATTAACCTTACCAAGGCCGACGTGGAGTTCAAGTGGGAAACGCCGCAGGAACACGCTTTCCAGGAGCTTAAACATCGCCTACAGACGCCTCCGTTACTTGCCCATTTCGACGAATTCGCCGAGACAGAAATACACACTGACGCAAGCAGCGTAGGTCTTGGCGTCGTTCTTGTGTAGAGGGCTCACGAACTTGAAAGGGTTATTAGTTACGCCAGCCGATCGCTATCTAAAACAGAAGCCAATTATTCCACAACAGAAAAGGAGTGCCTCGCCATCATCTGGGCTTCGTCGAAATTTCGCCCCTACCTCTATGGCAGGCCCTTCAAAGTTGTGGGCGACCACCACGCCTTGTGCTGGCTAGCCACCTTGAAGGACCCTTCAGGTCGCCTCTCACGATGGAGCATGAGACTTCAAGAATATGACATTACCGTCGTTTACAAGTCCGGCAAGAAACAATCCGACGCCGACTGTTTCTCTCGTGCGCCTGTCGACCAACCACCACCCGATGACCCGGATGACGACTACTTCTTGGGAACGATAACTACCGACAACTTCGCTGAACGACAGCGGGCCGAGCCGGAACTTAAGGCCCTAATAGAATATTTCGAAGGCAGGACCGCCGAAGTCTCGAAGGTATTCAAGCGTGCACTTGCGTCATTCTTCCTGCGAAACGGTCTTCTCCAAAAGAAAAACTTTTCACCGCTCCGAGCCAAGTACCTCCTTGTGGTGCCTTCAGCTCTGCGACCAGAACTCCTGCAGGCCCTGCACGACGATCCGACGGCAGGGCACCTCGGTGTTTCTCGCACGCTCGCGAGGATACAAGAAAGGTACTACTGGCCACGTCTTACCACCGACGTCACTCGTTATGTGAGGACATGCCAAGACTGTCAGCGACGCAAGACACCGCCGACAAGGCCAGCGGGACTTCTGCAGCCAATTGAACCACCTTGCCGACCTTTCTAGCAGATTGGTATGGACCTACTGGGGCCGTTCCCGACGTCATCTTTCGGAAACAAGTGGATCGTGGTAGCTACCGACTACCTCACCCGCTATGCCGAGACAAAAGCCCTTCCAAAAGACAGTGCATCCGAGGTAGCTAAGTTCTTCGTCGAAAATATCGTCCTACGTCACGGCGCCCCGGAGGTCCTTATCACCGACAGAGGAACTGCATTTACTGCCGACTTAACTCAAGCGATCTTGGCATACTGCCAGACAAACCACCGCCGAACGACAGCGTAACACCCACAGACCAACGGCCTCACCGAGCGGCTTAACAAGACGATCGCCGACATGCTGGCAATGTACGTCGATGTCAAACACAAAACGTGGGACGCCATTCTTTCGTACGTGACCTTCGCATACAACGCGGCGGTGCAGGAGACGACGCAGATATCTCCATACAAATTGGTCTATGGAAGGAGGCCGGCAACGACGCTCGATGCCATGTTACCCAACGTCACCGACGAAGAAAACCTCGATGTGAGTGAGTACCTTCAACGCGCCGAAGAAGCCCGACAACTCGCGCGTCTTCGTATCAAGAATCAACAGACAATCAACAGCCGCTGTTACAATCTTCGACGACGCTTCGTGGAATACCAGCCCGGTGAACATGTTTGGGTATGGACGCCAATACGCCGACGTGGACTAAGTGAAAAGCTTCTGCGACAATAATTCGGACCGGACAGGGTGGTTCGACGTCTCGGCCCACTTGATTACGAGGTTGTCCCCGACGCCATTACGAACTTTCAACGACGCCGATTGGGACCTGAAGTCGTCCATGTCTCGCGTCTCAAGCCGTTTCATGTGCGTTAACAAATTGAAACAGTGTTTTTTTGTATTATTATTGTATCGTAACTTATTTATTTTACTTTCTTGCATTATTGTTTTACCTTCATCTTTAGTTAAAGCATCGGGACGATGCCTTTTTCAGAGGGGGGCAAATGCCACGTTCCATTTCTCAAGTTTTGTTATCACCCCAAAACACTACACAATTCTCAGCACAAAACGCGCGTGCAGTTTTCGAGAAGCTTCCGGACTTTAGTAGATCATTTCGGTAAGGTCACACCCACTCTGCGAACTGTACAGATTATTCTGGAACCTACGCCACCGCCAGCGATAACGCTAGAACATTCGATGGCAAGAGTATAAATGCCGACGCACTTCGCCGCTTGTCAGTAGTTGATCGACGGCCGACGCTCCGTTCGCCGCTATCAGTCCAAGACTGCTACGGTAATCGGACTTTCCGTTTACCGGGCACAGGTTCGCCCAAATAAACAATTAAATTCCAACACAAAGTCTCCTGTATTTGGCCACGTCACGACCCCGTGACAATATAATAACACATTTAAAAGTGTGTCTTGGTTTTATTTGGTCATTTGCACTGGCCTTTTTATTGGTTCGACACTGGCTTGTTGGTTGGCACAAGCAACACAACCACAAGAACACCACTGCAAATGCCTCTACAGCTTCAGTCCATGTCTCCAGTCTTCTGGAACTTCGTAAATGTGAATACACATATACATGTGAGCTAAAACTCCCACCTGCGAAGCTTACAACAGATTTGCTTGTAGAGAAGAATAACCCTGACAGTCTGTCAACATGACCAACAAGCGTTATGTGTCTATGATGACAACAAGCATTATGTGACTATAAAAATGAATGTTTTGGTATGCATGAATTTTCTGCAAGCCATTATGCCAACATGCATAACTGCTTGTAATAACGAAGACAACTTCTTGTCACTTCTTGAAAAATACCAGTGTGTTTCACAATCATGAACTGTTTATCTGTCACAGTGACTGTTTATATAGCATAACTTTATTATTTTGATTTTTGGAATGAATATAGTTTTCATCTAGAAACGGTGCATTCACACATTACGTGTGCTAGAATAAGGTCACATTACTTTTATCATTATTACTATCTTTTTATTTTCTATGGTGCGTTCTTTGTAACTCTCTATAAATCCATTCTTTATAGTACTTTTCATATATGTTTGTTAAATGATTTTATGTTGAACTTGATGATATTATTCCATATTTTTATCTCTGAAATCTTCACTCTTGTATATATTTTATGTATGCCCTTTCTGCCAAAATCCCAGTTGGGATTGCCAGCATGTCTGAAATAAACAAATACCTGTTGTGCAGATGTCCTTGCTTTGCCCAATCGCCAAGAGGAGGCTTCGTGTCCCATGCCGCGGTGCCCGCTGCCAGCACTTGCAGTGTTTCGACGCCTATGCCTATCTGGCCCTCAATGACAGCACGCTGCACCCCTCCTGGCGCTGCCCAGTCTGCAATGATCAGGTGCTTCTACAGGACATCCGCGTCGACCTGCTGACGCTGGACATCCTCCGCAAGGCTCAAAGTGATTGCAGCACCGTGAACATTCAACCCAACACCAGCTGGATGCTTGGGACGGGCTGTCATGATCACAGTGTCATCACTATTGACGACAGTCCGGTCAAGATGCCTCAAAAGACGTGCAACTCACTCTTCATCGACTTGACACTCGACCCTGACTAGAGCCAAAGGTTGTTGAGTGCTCCGCCATCCTTTGGGGCTTTGTTGTTTTGTCGGACATTGACCTGCCCATGTTCTGTGGGCAAGGAAAATAGATTTCTCAAGCGTTGTTAAAGATCTGGCCTCTTTACTTCAATCAACTGTTCAGCTTTAGAAGTGACCGTAAAAACTGAAAGTTTGAGAATTTTCGTACCTTTGTAGCTAGATGCTCCACTTGTTGCAAATCAGCAGTAATTTGTGTCAATCGGTTAATAGCATTACTTTAAAATTTAGATTGTCATTGTATACTTTATATACAATACCATTCATAATTATAAATGACATTCTTAATTTTACATTCTGCGGGCAAGAAAAGTTCTTAAGTGTTGTCAAAGCTCTGGCCTATTCACCTCACTCGCCTGTGCAACCTTAGAAGCGGCTGTTAAAACTGAAAGTGTGACAATTTTCATACCTTTTTAGCTAGGTGCTCCACTTGTTGCAAGTCAGCAGTGGTTTGTGTCGATCACATCAAAATTTGGAATGTCATTGTATACTTTATATACAATGTCATTCATAATAATAAATGACTTTCTGAATTTTCAATTTTGTGGGCTAGGAAAGGAGATTTCTCAAGTGTTATCAAAGCTCTGGCCTCTTCACCTCACTCGGCTGTGCAACCTTAGAAGCAGCTGTTAAAACTGAAAGTTTGAGAATTTTCATACCCTTTTAGCTAGGTGCTCCTCTTGTTGCAAGTCAGCAGTGGTTTCTGTCGATCACTTCAAAGTTTGGAATGTCATTGTATACTTTATATACAATGTCATTCATAAATATAAATGACATTCTAAATTTTCAATTTTGTGGGCTAGGAAAGGAGATTTCTCAAGTGTTATCAAAGCTCTGGCCTCTTCACCTCACTCGGCTGTGCAACCTTAGAAGCAGCTGTTAAAACTGAAACTGACATTGTATACTTTATATACAATGTCATTCATAATTATAAATGACATTCTAAATTTTCAATTTTGTGGGCTAGGAAAGGAGATTTCTCAAGTGTTTTTGAATTGAATTTGAATTTTATTCATCAAGCGTGAACATGGAAAAGTGCATGGGTACAGATTCACTGGGAGGTCCCAAGGTAAGAACCGCAGGCGGGACCTCCCATGATGAAAAAAAAAAAAAAAAAAGTAATCATCATGAAGCAACACTGAAATACATTGTCAGCAAATAAACACAGCATAAAAAGAGAAAGATGAATAAAAAACAAAAACAAAAAAACCATTAGAATAATAAGCAGGAACACTAAAAAACAAGAAATACATCGTCAATCTCGTCATCGCCAAAAAAAAAAAATGTGGATATGAATACCACAACAAAAAAAAGACATGATAATACAGTTACAATTCAATCAAACAGAAGGGCCTAACAAGAAAGTCTTTAGTTTGGATTTAAAAATGCAAAGTGATTTAGAAGATTTAATATCAGAGGTTAGTGAATTCCAGAGCGAAATGGCCGAGAATAGAATCGTTTGTTTGCCGTAGTTAGTGTGTATACACGGAAGTAAGAGATTCTGGCGTGAGGCAAAGCGCGTTAAATTGTTGTCAATGCTCTGGCCTCTTCACCTCACTCGTCTGTGCAACCTTAGAAGCAGCTGTTAAAACTGAAAGTGTGAGAATTTTCATACCCTTTTAGCTCGGTGCTCCTCTTGTTGCAAGTCAGCAGTGGTTTCTGTCGATCACTTCAAAGTTTGGAATGTCATTGTATACTTTATATACAATGTCATTCATAATTATAAATGACATTCTAAATTTTCAATTTTGTGGGCTAGGAAAGGAGATTTCTCAAGTGTTATCAAAGCTCTGGCCTCTTCACCTCACTCGGCTGTGCAACCTTAGAAGCAGCTGTTAAAACTGAAACTGACATTGTATACCTTATATACAATGTCATTCATAATTATAAATGACATTCTAAATTTTCAATTTTGTGGGCTAGAAAAGGAGATTTCTCAAGTGTTATCAAAGCTCTGGCCTCTTCACCTCACTCAGCTGTGCAACTTTAGAAGCGGCTGTTAAAACTGAAAGTGTGACAATTTTCATACCTTTTTAGCTAGGTGCTCCACTTGTTGTAAGTCAGCAGTGGTTTGTGTCGATCACATCAAAATTTGGAATGTCATTGTATATTTTATATACAATGTCATTCATAATAATAAATGACATTCTAAATTTTCAATTTTGTGGGCTAGGAAAGGAGATTTCTCAAGTGTTATCAAAGCTCTGGCCTCTTCACCTCACTCAGCTGTGCAACTTTAGAAGCGGCTGTTAAAACTGAAAGTGTGACAATTTTCATACCTTTTTAGCTAGGTGCTCCACTTGTTGTAAGTCAGCAGTGGTTTGTGTCGATCACATCAAAATTTGGAATGTCATTGTATATTTTATATACAATGTCATTCATAATAATAAATGACATTCTAAATTTTCAATTTTGTGGGCTAGGAAAGGAGATTTCTCAAGTGTTATCAAAGCTCTGGCCTCTTCACTTCACTCGGCTGTGCAACCTTAGAAGCAGCTGTTAAAACTGAAAGTGTGAGAATTTTCGTACCTTTTTAGCTAGGTGCTCCTCTTGTTGCAAGTAAGCAGTGGTTTGTGTCGATGACTTCAAAATTTGGAATGTCATTGTATAGTTTATATACAATGTCATTCATAATAATAAATGACATTCTAAATTTTAGATTCTGTGGGCAAGAAAAGTTCTTAAGTGTTGTCAAAGCTCTGGCCTATTCACCTCACTCGGCTGTGCAGCCTAAAAAGTGGCTGTTAAAACTAAAACTGTGAGAATTTTCGTACCTTTTTAGCTGGATGCTCCATTTGTTGCAAGTCAGCAGTAGTTTGTGTCAATCAGCTCATAGTATTACTTTAAAACTTAGAATATTATTGTATACTTTGTAATTTTTATAAAATGTAACCCTAATAAATTTGGAATACATGAGGTCAAGTAAACAAGACGTGCGCTCCAATGCCGCAGTGTTTCACTCTATTACTCTGTATAGTCTATTTCATACCAGTTGGTGACCTTATGACTGCTTGAGTGCTGTGTTGGTGTCTATAGAGTTACTGATTCAATAAAGGCTCTTTTATTTTAACTTATAGTTAGATTGAAATGACGCCCGGATCATGGCCCATCCTTTTATATTTCCATGGGAGAAAAGACCCAATAATATGAACACATTGTGATTGACAATGGTTAATTCGAACTGGGAGCCCCTTGGCTTTCATCACTCCTCGCAGAAGACGGCCCAGACTGATGAACATGTGTTGCAAAACCAAACCAAATCGACTAGAGAGGCTAAACAAAACATCAGCATTTCTCCACAGATGATTATTCGGATGCTTCACTGGAGCTCTTGAGCAGGCGGTTATGCTCATGGATTTGTAAGAGAACTGCAAGCAAACACATTTTACTGATTACTCCTAATTAATTTTGTTAGCATTAACCCTGCCATGTAAATGAATGCACACCTGAGCAAAATTAACCTCATGTATTTTGGCATTAAGGCCCACTGCTCACATAAACGCATGTTGCTGCTTGCTTGTGGCTAATCACTAACTGATAAATTAATTCTGTTCACATTTAGAGCTTCACAAAAAATAAGGTGTACTGACACGAAATTTTTCACTTGCGCTTTATTGTGTTAAATTATAGGCCAAGACCTCGAGGGCGAGAGAAATAAACCAATAAGCTTGAGTACGCACCAAAAAGTACAATTGTAGCATGCTTTTAAAAGATAGTTTCAGTTCCTACTGTACGCTGACGTCACGACATGGTATGAGCAGCGCCATCAGGCGGTAGCATGTGCACACGCAAGTTTTCGTGACGTCTCCTCATCCGCGCGTCGCTTCTTCAGACGATTTTTGTGCCCTCTGGTAAGTATATATATCTTGTATTTTAGTGCTCATAAACTCTTTCATCTTTAACTTAGTTGCTTCACAGGTATGCTGGATCACAGTTACTGCACAGCACAAGCAGACGATCGGGAATACAACGTGCAAGCTGGCGTTCATTCTGATTTGGTACTTGATGTCATCACAACTAGCTAGACTGCTGTGTGAAGTCACCAGGATTAGTACTGTAGTCAGAGGTAAAGTTCATGTCGATGTCAGTTGGTGCGCCATGACAAAATTGAATGTAATATCAAAATAAAATATCTTATCAGCTTTTGCCAAATGTCACAGTTGCTCAAAGCCATCTCTGTATACATAATATTTCTATGGCAGAGTAAACTCGCCTTCAAAATAATGTGTCAATACTCCTTTAATTTACGAACTCGCCTTCCGCAAACAGGTTGTAGCACCTGATTTGTGGTGACAAGCTCTAAGGTGACTTTATTTGGATATGCCTGCACAGTGTGGCGCAATGTCCGTTCAATCTAGCGCCTGCCCGCCACTTCAAACTCTGTTTAGTTTGGACGATTTGATAGTCCCCATATAGAAGTGCCTTGGAAACACCGCTGCAACATAGCCACAGTTCTCCCTGAAGAAGGAACCAAGTCGGTTCTGAAACGTCAGGTTTACGCATTTTCACGTACTCGTTGGTTAGAGTTAAAATCGTTTCCCAGTTTACCTACCCAACCAGACAGACATCTGTCGAATGTTTACATTCAAGGTTTATCAAGGCTTTTTACCCCAGCATGTTTCTTGTTGCTGACCTGCAAGGCTTTTGCCTGTACAGCATTGTTATTGTTGCTATCTGCACTTGTGAGCGTATAAAGATAGCCTACGGTCTTGCACCATCTGAACAAAGGGCACCTTTGATTGTACGCTGCGCACTGTTAGTTTTCTCGGGTTTTGTCAATGGTAACAGTGTACTCTGTCTTTTCTGTACCGTGTGCTTACACGCGTCAGTGAGTGGAAATGATCTCCGATTTTGTTGAAACAAGAGGCAACATCTTTGTGTTTTGGTAATGTCCCAAGTACTTGGCAGGGATAAGACAGGAAACGTTGCTTACTGTAGATGGAAAGTTCAGTAGCTTGGTAGGGACCTACAGAAAAACGCCCTTTGATTTTGAAGGGGCTGTCAGCGCTAATCACGGGACAGAGCACATTTTGTTCAACTACTCATGCATGGATACGGCGAATAATTGTGGGTAATAGTAGGATCGATGGCGTCCAAAAAAATTACTGGCAATTATTTGGAGCAGTGTATGACATTTTTGGCACTCTAAAAAAACTGTGCCAGTTTTATTTTTTCACGACCCCCTACGTACGAATCCCTGAATTTCAAGCTCGCCAGCTTGACAGATCCACATTTGAATTTGCAGAGTCAGACGCAGCAAATGCCACGGTGGATGTTACGATTAATTGCTCAGTGAGGTGGTTCATAATACTAATTTTATTCATATAGCAGTGCTCTTTCTCACCCTGCACGATTTAGGACATGTTGAATGATTTGTACATACTTTTTTTTTTTTGGTAAATGTAAGACTTTTTTTTCATACAGCTCTAAATTTGGTCTTTTATGATAAAAAATGAATGTTTTGTTCCCAATAACGTGCTCCAAATTTGGAATTTCGTGCTCCAAAAGTAACATTTTGCTGCTGAAAAAGTTGCTCCAAATTCTGTTTTGGTTGTTACACCCCTGCATGTAGCTCTCGCCGATCGGTGCCCCATCCTCGAACTCCTTGGACCATGTCCCCCATCTTTCCTATCTCTTCTTTTGCAGGGAAGGCTGTTATGAGATCACAAATTCGGGTCTCGCGCAGCACCGTATTTGTCTGCGCAAAATTAGAAAAACAAGAAACTTAGTACCGATGACACAGTGGGGCTCCAAACCGGGTCCCTTGTATGCCAGCCCAGTATTCTAACCCTGAGCTACGCCGTTGCTTGGGACTTGCTGGCAAACGTGCCTTAGGCAGGTTTTGATGTCAGGAAAGCAATCGCGTTAATACGACTTATAAAGTGTTTTAAAACAGCAAAAGAACAAGCAGTCATTTCACAATGCTAATAGCATAACGAGTGGGTCGTCCAATGCTTGAACCCATTACAAAAGCTTGTTTTCGTTCAGCTTATTACTGTGGCACATACCCACTTTAGGCATAATTTATCATCGTT